ACGTGGTTTATGAGACAAACAGGTGCACTCTATTTCTTCTATAACATCTTTCAAATCAATCATGTCAAATTACTGATTTCCTCTGACACGTCTAAGAAAAGTAAATTTCGATATACAGTTCCATCGATCAAAATTAAACCTGACCTTCTAGATGAACCTTGCTGAGCTTCTCGGCTTCAAGCCTCCTCAATGATGTCGAACTCATTTTCTCTCCACTAGAATTCCCAGGGACTAAATCTACAACTTCTATCTACATAGCACAGACATCAAATATTGAGCATTTCTATAGAGCGGACATTCTTAACATGAAAACATTTACCCGCCCCCGAGTAGCAAGTTGGTAGTCAACCCTCCACTTTAGTCGCACAATTAGCCCCTGTTTGACATCCTTTACTTTATTTATTTCTCATACTTATTTTTAACCATATATTCACACAATATAAAATTCTAAACGTAAACCCAAAACTTTTCCCTACTTTTTAACCACACCTCCAAAAAATACTATTCAAAACTATGTTTTTAAAATTTTAAGGATGTCAAACAAGGGCTTAGTCCTCAACAACAAAAAGCTTCCAAATCCTTGTTAAATCGTATCATGTGACCTCATGGAAATGTGCCTCACTTCAAATTTATAGGCACCAGGCCAAGTTAGAAAACAAAACCTAATTACATAAAGTTGGAGGTGTGAGTTCCACAAGATGATTTAAACAAAATTTTTGACGGTTTTATCGTTTGAATTTGAGTTAAGGACCAACTATCTAATCAAGCAATAGGTTGGGGACTAATGCTGCAATTTTCCCTTTTACTATCATAACAAGTCATTCATGCAGTCTGTATAGATAAACCTTCAGTTGTGAAAGACCTCTCTCAGCCCTTTTCTTGTTGACCGACAATCCTCCAGGCAATGTCTCTTTGCTGTTCCACACAAAGTTAGCTATCAAATGACGATTAAAACGATATTTTTTCTTTGATAGGTAATGATTAAGACGATATGAATGACGATATGAATAACGATAATAGACAAATTTATCCAAACCATTCAATTTGGAAGTAGATTATATATATATAAAGAAATGGAAGGCACGGATTATGGTGTTAGCAATTGATGAAGATATTCATGAACTGTTCATTGAAAATGACCAGGGTGATACTATATCACCTTCATTTCCAATCGTCTAATTCATATCTTTAAGGCCCCCATGTACCAATCTGACCAATAACATTAAGGCTCTATCTTGAATACTTTTCAGTTTTATTTTGCACTATAAATGCTCTTCAGTTTTCTTTAAATTTGACAAGATCCACAGAACAATATGGTTGTCATTCTGGATTTAGCTCCAAAAGTTTGTTGTGTGCAAAGTGCATTTTGTGCATAGCTTTTGAGATTGCACCCAATACATGCTCTGCAATTCATACATGCTATTATATATAGATATGAATGATATTTATTTCCTCCTGAGGTTCTTGGTCTGTACAAGCATAATTGACAATGTTTTGGTTCTTCATTGGCAATTTAAGTACTGTTACGATCTCTTTAAGCAACATCTAGTACACAGTGCGTGACTACTATGTTACAAACACAGTGACTGATGCATCAACAAGTATAGAAAAAGACGGGTGATTATTGTCTTTGCCATATTGCCTTTTCCCATAATAGTCCTATTTCTATTTTCTTTTTCACCAAGCTTAATAAATTGCCAGAGTGGATACCATTAATTTAAACAAGTTCAAAGTTAGCATCAATGTTTGGACATATTTGATTTTGGTAATGACTTTGGTATCGTTGGTTTTTAAAGTCTATGACTGAACTTAAATTTGTCATTTGCATAATTCTTTAGTATTTTTCAAGTGAGGAAGTCCACATATTTTAGAGCAATCTATAGAACTTTCCTTTTAACTTCATAGGTGTCTTCTCATCACACAAAATACCCATACATAATACACCATTCAGTCCAGAGGTTCAAGGAAATCAATATTTTGTCTCAAGCCACGTTAAATTTGATCTCCACTGTTTAGCCTTGTAGATCATAGATTCTATAAATTAAAGATTTATCCAACCATCTAGATCTCCATTCTTTATTTCATCCTCTATTGTCACCTCTATTTGTTGAGGTATAGACTATACACTCATTTCTTAGTTTACTCCACTGAGGAAATACATTCATTTTAACATCCTGATTTCTGCGTCCACAGCAT